TCCAGAGATCATGAGCCTTATCTACCTTTTAGCCACTACCAAGGGGTTTGGATCAACCCCCTTAACACTTCGAATTATCGAAGAAACTCCAAGTATCATAGGGTGCTTTTGTCAGACGCATCGTACGTTTGGCGTGTTGGGAATCGAACGGAGTGGACCTTGAGGGTCCAGAGGGAAGGTGTTTCTGGATTTCTGTCTCGGTTCACGCCAAGTATCTCGCTGGAATCGTGTCGTATCGGTTGCACCCGCGGCGGACGAACGTCGAAACGACGCGATACGAAGGCACGTCCTCCGTGAAACGAAGCGTGTTCTCGTGGGCTAACTCGTGTTTCACCCCTCGTCAGTTTGTTTACTGCTCGCTGTCGCGCCCTAATCTCGATTCGACAGGCGTCGTAATGAAGGGTCTCGACTCTCAAAAAAATTCCTTTTTTCTACGCGATCAATTACACGCGAGAGAAAAGATCTAATACGAGCCGGTTACATCGTTTCTTGGAAGGTGGGTTCCATGTACAGGCGAGATTGCCCCGCGGCTCGGTTAATTGCAACTTTTTCGCGATCGATCAGGCGCGAGTAATCGGAAATACGACGCAACCGTCTCTTCGTATCTGAGCGTAAATCGGGAACAGTTGTTCGAATATTATCCACCTACAGTTGGATGAATTATTGGTTGTATAACCGATCCAATTAGGTCAATTTAATCCCGATCCTAGATAAACGGATCTTAGGTAATTGAATATGTAACAGCACCCATCGTATTTTTAAACGATACGATAGAGAAGCGAACTTTCTCGCGGTCCACGGCGTTAAGTTCATTTTCAAATTAGAGTACTCGAAAGGTTAGAAGGAAACGAGCGAGCCCAAGACGGGGCATGTTTTGACAGACGAGGCTGCTTCGGTTAATTTATCTTCGCCAGTCCGTCCGTTGGTCTCGCCCTAACTTTAATACCATAATGGATACTGTCTGCTATAGAAACGACGTCGAAATCCCATTTTCTATATAGTCACGAACCCCGTAGTTCTAATACAACCGAATAACGAGATTGCATTCTCCGAATATATTTGATAAATATACGATTTACCGCGTTTAAGGATTTATTCGTGTTCGTGGATTTGCATAATCTTCAGTTAAGTTTCTGCACCCCCGCTTTAACTCGTCGCCTCTCTCGCTTATCTAAATTCACCCGATTTAGTAAACACGCATTTAATGTCGTCGAACATCTTGAAGCTGACGCGAAGGGTAGATCATCCATCGACGATCATCTCGTAAGACTTCTGTGACGCAGATTCACGGGGATCTGCTCCTAACATACTGTTCGAGATAACAAGGAAAGGTCAGGTTTCCCTTCCTTCCATCGTTGCACCCTTGGAAATTTCCACAGCGCGGATTCGACGTCTTCCACCCCCACGTGCTCGCTCGACAGGCACAACTTGTAGATACCGCTCGTGCGAGAGAGTCAGTTACACCCTTGGACACGCGAAATATTCTCAAAGATTCTCTCCGGTTCTCTGCTACGACTGTCGGGAGACTCACGCCCACGAAAACGTGATGGAGCAATCGTGTTCACATACCGGATGATTAATTTTACTCTTCAAACGGATTTACTCGCGAGTGCATTTAATTAAACGGAATTTAACGTTTGAGAAATTAACCGTCAAACTTCCTGGCTAGAAATAGTTTTGTATTAATATATTAGGCACTGTTGAAATTTTGAATCAACAGAGAAATGTTAGACTTGTACTTTTACAAACTTTAAATCGAAACTTGAGGTGCAAAAGAAATTTAAAAAAGGATTAAAGATCGAATTGTTGGACGAAATCTACAGAATATGTCAGTATTTGATTTTTGGTGGATTTGGAAAATTGTGAAAGCCGCGAAAGTTTGAAGAATACGGAGCATAAAGGCAACCAGCCATAACCAGCAAGTTTCGAGTAGATACTAGTCGAACTTTAAACGAGTTTTCTCGAAACTACACTTTTCGGAGTGGCGAGAGGCCACTAGTAGTCCAATCGACGCCATCTTTGAGGAAACGGTTTCTTCATAGCGTGTCCATACTACTAATACTTTTATCTTCACCATTTTCTTTCATGCTCGAGCACAAAGCTAACAAAAATTTTAACCGTAAAATGCTAAATGACTGGTACGAACCTCGAAATAAATTCGCTGCAAATTATCAATTTTCCCACTCGAAGGCCACCTAAAATAATTTTACTCAAATTCTTGCGATATAAAAAATATTAGGTCTTGTTTCGCGGAGAGGAAGCAACGTTCTGTCGCAGAGTATACCCAGTGTACGTTTAAGTAGGAAAGGGGACGATCGTTCGAGGTCCCCGAACGCGTCTATCGCTCCCTAAACGCATCAAGAATTAATTTCCCCGTCGATCAAAGCCATTGCACGGGAGTAGCTGACGCAATTGCCGTGAAACGTGATCGAACGATTAGGAAACAGTCGAAAATTCACCGTAGGCACGTGACAACGCGAATCGGTGTGCGTCCGCAATTAGGCGGAGGACGTCGCGATACGGGCTCGTCTATCGTCATCGATCGACCCACCCGTGGCATATCATCCTCAATTTCTGTTAAGCGATCGAGCAAACGTCAGGCATTGTAACGAATCAATTTACTACCGCGCCATTAATCTCGCCGGTTCGACGGTGAGACTGGTCCGCGTCGAAATTAAAACGACGAAAAAGGATCTGCAATCCTTGGGACCCGTTTGAGAATAATTATTTAGAAGTATGAACGTTTATACGAATGCAAGTTTATTGGAACATCGATCGTACGCAAGAAACCCAGAGGCACTTGTTTACGAGACGCCAAAGTGCTCGTTAAGTCCACCCCCGCTTGGCGTTAAAAAGGGGAGAAAAAAAAAATTGAACGCGACGAGGCGAATTCGCCAGCGACCAGCCTGTCCATTAACGGATATTTTTAGGCGGCCTAACAAATTGCTCTTCGTGACGGGGTCCCAAAAGCAAGACCACGAGCGCTGGAATGGGTAAAGAAACGGACAATCGATCGTTCAGTAGTTCGGTTCTTCCACGAGTTCTTGCGACCAACGACTTGTCCGTGAAAAACACAGTTGTACAAATTTCCTCTGGAATTCGCGTTTTATCCACATCTGGACAGATCTGGAAAAGCTCTGAGGTCAGGTTGACAAAAATAAATTATAAATTATTAACAGTTACCAAGTGTGTAAAGACAAAGATCTCGTAGAAAATTTAAAAGCAATATTTCGGAGTCAACTGGTCAACGAGTTAAAAAATGATCGAGGGCTGCAGTTTCAGGCGTGTTTCGTGATCCCGCGTACCGAGTGTGTTTGTTTACCGTGACAATGAGTAACGGAGTAACGACAATTGCAGGAAAGAATGTCGGCGTTTCGTTATCGCGCGATCGACGTCGCGTGAACATCGCGACGGAGAAACCGTCGGCGATTCGACGGATATGAAACACGCGTGCTCGTCAACACCGAGCGTTAAACACACATCTCGTGACGGCCAACGGCTAATCACGACGTCGATCCTTCGAGAACCGTTCGAATGAATTTCTCCGGCATCGTCGGTCTTCAGGAGCCTCCGAGGGCCGTCTAATGGCTGGAAAAGCAAAACACGAGTACCGTGGGAACGCCAGCAAACAGGAAAACACAAGATGCATCGCGTTTTTCACGAGGATTTATGTCTTTCCACCGTTCGAGCAAAAAATAAGAAACCTCGAGGGTCGGCGAATATTTCGGGCAGAAGAGGTAAAAATAATATAAAAATGTGAATTTGTTTCGTTGTTGTTTTTTGTATAAAACAGTGAGAAGTTTCAATGCCTGTATATTTAATAAATCTCACAGAATTTTTTACCGAAATCGCGAGCGTCTTAACAGAACGAAACATCATCTATCATCCGATGCAATTGGCAGCGAGGGGGTTGAAACGCGATAGCGTTCTGCGGCTAATTTCTGACGAGATTTTATCGCGATCCCAGAGAAATTTCTCCTTGAACTTTAGCAAAGTGCCGAGGCTGTTTGTAGAAAAAAAGAAAGTGCACGAAAAACAGGGAAAGAGCACCTCGCGAGTAACGTGTTTCGAGGATTAAACCGAGGATCGGAAACGATTCGAGAGATTTACTACGCGTTTAGGAACCACTTAACCATCACCTTGCGATTCTATTTTTAACTTTGGTCTTTCTCGAAGCAGTCTCACGCTGGCCATTCGTATACTTTGTGCCAATCGCGGATAAATAAAGCGAAACGTTGAAACCCCGAGCATCCGGCCGGGCCCGGTTTCCAGTCATTAAGCGAGAGACTACTGTAGCGGAAGGTGTTAGCGTTCGCGAAGCTTGAACGCAAACGGAGCGTGATTATTCGCGCGCCCGGTATCGGTGAAATAAAAGTAAAATCGCCACACGAGTGAATTGCGTCGGATAAACGGGGCTGGTAACTTTCGCGAAACGGTGAGCCGTAAAACGGAACCGCCGCGTTCAATTTGAGAAATTGAATTTATCGGCCGCGAGGAACCGACGATAGCGTCGGGTTTTCCCTTTCGTTCGATACTGTCGTTGTACGACCTTGCGGGGCCAGCCCGTGCATAAACGTAAAATTCAGTGGGATGCATTTTATGGTAATGCGTCTTGCGAGGCGCGAGCGCGATTGTGGAATTGTCGTTCCGTAAGCGCTTAACTGCGGAAACATGACGCAATAGCGACGCGGACCTTCGAAAGCTCGTACCAAGGGCAATTTGGGGTAGTGTAACGCGAACGGAGACATGTACACGAGCCAGAGGAGCTTCTAGACCGGCGTCTTTCAAAATATTACGCAACGGTCCGCGTCAGAACGGCCAGAATATAACAGGAAATCCGGTGTCCCGCGGAGGATCCGGCAACTTGTGTATTGCCAGCTACCAGCGCTCGGGAGACTTAACAAATGTTTTATTCTGGAAAAATTGACGACAATGTCATTGAAAAAAACACTACCGGAATTTAAATGTCTTTAATTAATTAATTTGAAAACAAGCAAAGATCAAGACGTATTTAATATACGATCGTGCAGCAACTCGACGAACAATAACAGACAGCTGATTCCCTGGCACATGAAAAGTATCTCGAATATGGGACGGAGATGCTTCATGGTCAGAATTTCATCCGTGGACTGGCTCAGGGCGATCTGCTTGTCCTCCTCGATCATGGACACGTTCTCCAATTTATATATCATCCCTATTTCTCGATAACGCGTAACGAGTTGTCTCAATGGTCTTCGATAAACGTATCCTCTTCTGGTGAATAAGAACACCGGAAACCTCAACACCGGTTTTGGCAACGCGTACATCCGTAGACTTCGATTGCTCCTGTAGTCCCAGTTGATTCTGTGCACGGTGAAGTGTTGCAACACTGAGATTCCATCCCTCTCGAGTATGCTTTCCAGTGCTTCTTCCGCTCCTATCGCCTTGTACCTGTCGCAAAGAAATTCTTCGATTTCTTAGGGGGATCTTCCCGGAACTGCTGGAAACGTCTGTTCGCTATTTTCTTAAATTATACACCGAACTTTTCGCGCAATTCCTTTCAGAAAACTGTAAATTCCATCAAGGGTCGATCTACAAAGTTTTTATCAAAGTCTTTGAGATTGAGAAACACTGCTTCAGAGTAAATCTATCGTTCGACTAGTCAAAATTGGCCTCAGGTTCAACGTTTCTCCATCCACCCACTATCGACCACCCCACAAAGCGTCGTAAAGGCGCGTACGACGGCGTCACGTTCGGCCATTTTGGATCACGATTCGTACATACGATAAACTAACTGAAAGGAATTGTCTCGTAAACTCCCCGATAAAACCCACAGGGGGGTATCGAAGCGAAAATATATCGAAAACGTGGGATTACCTCTCTCGCAACTCCCCTACGGCCGGATCGTCCGAGTTGTTGAAATAAGAGAGAACGATCTCGGGTCCTCCTAGGGGTTGACCGGTGTCACGTACTTGCTTGAGATCCTTCAGCAGATCCTCGGTCTCGACCTCGGCCACGGAGCTGGTGAACGTGCTGTTGTACGTGATGCTCAAATAGACAGAGAACAGGATCCACAGAAGCAACACTAATCTCAATCCGATGTTCCTTGGCAAGTGGACGCCCTGCGACATCAGTATCGAGAATACGTACTCGTATTTCACGCGTTCCTTGATCAGCCCGATGTGGGACAACTTTCTGAGTGCGATCAACAACAGGACGTAAATTAGGAGCAACGAGACGACGCACAGCCAGACAAGATAGTGAAACGGCATCAGCATCTTGAGGACGTCGTTCTGGATGGTCCTGACGTGCACCAGACCGGCGAACACCATGTCGCGGTACATGTACCAGCAGATGATCTCCATGTTGTCGAAGATGGCAAGATCCTCCGGCCTGGGGCCGACTATCACGTCTATGTCGCGGTTAATGAGCTTCGTGATCGCGTCGGGCCAGGTCATGCTATTGCCGGCGCTCGAGTCGACGGTGATGTTATAGTAATCCCCGAAGTGCTCCACCAGCAATCCGCCGACCGCTTGCAGAGATTCGTTTTCTGGAAGATGCAGTGTACAGGGTTCGGAAAACACCGAGAAAATCCCTGTAGGAGTGTGTAATTATCCGCGAGGCTAACGTGGTTTAAAAGTAATTAAGGTAATGGAATTTCGTCGACAGATATCGGTGGGAAGCAAATGAGGAATAATTACGCGTGGGGATCGTTCGTCTGTGGTTCCTGTTAACGCTTTAGTGGATTGCAAAGATTGATATCGCGAGTCAAGATGATAAAGCATAATCACTGAGGTGGATTCTGCGAGTTCTAATGTTGGTATATGTTTCGCAGGCTATTGTATATCGTGATTCGCTTAGTATTTATGAATCGAATTATTTTATCATCGGTGCATCCACAAAATTAATGTATTCATTGTAAATGTAAAAAAACTTGTTAGTAAGGAGTCGAATATTTATAATTGTTTCTTTTCGAAAAAAGAACATCCCACGTCTTCTTGATTTCTCTATAATTTATTTAGGACATTACTGACCCATCAATGTTAGAAAAACTACTTCGTGAATAGAAATTTAACCCCCAGTGGTAATAAAAAACAAATTACGTTAATGAGTTTGTTACACATCATATGAATATTAAGCTTTACATAATGAAAAGACTGCCTCTATATTAGATCTAAACAGTTCCTCGATCGATCAACGCGATTAATCCGTGGGATCGACACACAGGGGCTGTTAAGTCATCTTGATACATATTCGATGGCCCGTCACCGCAGAAAATAATTGATGCACAGCCATTTTTGTTCCACGAGAGCTATGATAAATTACCGGGAACGAGCCCCGTTTTCGGGGTGCTGTTTCTAGCGACGAGGGCGTTTTCTTTCATTGCCAAGGCGGCGTCCTTGCCCGGACTACCATTTCTCAATCACTTAAAGTACGCACCCGGAAACAAATAACCCCACGGAATATTCGCGGGGAAATAAAATAGAATGTCCTTGGGGCGAAACGACTGCGCAATAATATCGATTAGCATTTAACGCGTCAAAAATCAAGCCCGCATTAGCGTCAGATTCGTTTAATTACCGTCGACAGGATCGTGTCGCGATACCAGCTTCTGGTCGCATGTATGCAAGAGAATTTGATATGTGCAACGAATTAAAAGTTTTAAGGGTGCCCTTCGATCAGCGTACGCGAGAAAACGTGTAACATTTCAGATTTTATTTTTCGCGAAAGGGAACGACGCGGAGTGGAAAAAAACTTATTGGGTTGCATTCAGACGTTATTGAAAATGGGAAAAAAAATTTGAGTACATATTTTATCGAAGGATGCTTTTTACAGACAGTGATTTAATAAAAGTTCCGTGAGTGGCGACTCGTCGTAAAATTAAATTGGTTTTCAGAAGCCTAGGGGATGGAATTTAGAATGCTCGCGATATTTATCGCGCCGCGTAAGTTTCGAAGAAAGCGATAACCCTAATTTCGAGCAGGAAAGAAGCATTCGCGAAGCAACCAACATTCGCATAAAACTTTCGCGCCTAATAGAGCAACCGAAAATAGAAAACCCGTATTTCGTTCGAGCCGCGGTAAATCAGTACGTCGAGAGGGATGAAGATACCAAAGTTTCATCCCTCAAACTTTATCTTGGAAAGTATTCGAGATACAAAGAAGTTTCGTAGACAAATGTTTTATGATTCTCGCCCTCCTATTTACTAAGATGTTGATAACTTCGAGAACAGAGACGATAACAATGATTTCTTACTGAAAACGTTCTATCGTGCCACTTTCCAAGAAAAATTGCGAAACGTTTGCTTAGAACGATCCTCGATATCTCGGCAAGTTTTCAAGATAGCATCGTAGGAGTTAATTTCTGAATTATCCAACAAAAAACTTGTCCATTAATTTTAGCCGTTCTACGAGTCTGCAAAGTTTCGTCGAAACTGTCTTCTCGAGACACCCCCAAGTGTTTTAGTTGTCCATGATTGGCTCAAGCTCTTGATAAATATACAATCGTGTCGTCTCGAGTTCTTAATAAATATTTTATCTACTTTTCACATTATCATTTTAATCGTACGTTCCTTCCCTTGTATTGAACTCGATAAATTGGCATGAAATGGGGGCTTCGTCGGAGTGAAAGCGTTAAATCGTAATATTGATGTACGACTCCATTTATACCTAATGCAGCTAATCTTCTTATGCAGGGCTCTAATCGTTTCTCACTCTCTCCGCTTCCCTCAGTTTCCTAATCAGATTCCTACACAATTTCCTACAAAGGCTCGAAACCGCCTCGAATGTGGGGCATACCTTAGACGGTCGCTTTCCACAACAGAACCTACAATTGGGAAACTGGCACAGGATTATTTGGGGCATCGTACTGAAGTAAATTCAAATTGACTTCAATATAATTTAAACGAGCAATCGAAGTAAAGAAATATTGAAATAAATTTTTTAAAATGTCTGCTATCTTCCAAACTTGTGTCAGAGTATTATCGCAATTTTTTTAGTAAAAACTGTTGACAGTGTGGAAGCTTCAAGCTCGATTTCGTCCGAAAAGCATTCGTTCCGGTGGTGTTGCTCACGTTTCAGCTTCAGCGTGTCCTCTTTGCGCCAGAATCTCACCGTCGCGTCGGCCACGATTCCGTACTTCACCGAGCATCCACCTCGCGGACAGTACCTACGGGAATCCGTGGCGAACGTTGGAATTCGATCCACATTGCTCGTAAATGCTGTACACGATCCCACGGATCGCAATGTAATCTCCTCTCCTGTTGCGTTCGCACGAATGACAGAGCCGACGCCCGCGTCGTCGAACGCCAGAAACGCCACGTCTCGATACCCGGCGTTCCGTAAATCTCGCGCGAACGAAAGTATCTGGCACCTTTTGGCTTTGGTCACGAACAGGTACTGCAACGTGCGTAAAGCGGGCTTCCCCGGCAGAAAGATCCTCCGCGAGTCTGCAAACAGGGACAAAAACGCTCAAAACGACCAACAATTATCCTCACTTTTATTTAAAACACTTATAGTTAGTTCAAATTAGTTAGTTAAAATTCATTATTATAAAAATTTAAAGAAACTCTGCGATTTATATTATTTGAACGATCAACCTGAGAATTGATAGTGCTCGACGACAACGTAGCTAGGTATGCGTTCGTGTTTGATATGTTCTGCTCGATCAGCAACAAAGATGGCGGCGTTCTTCGTGCAGACTCTGGCAATGGCGTCCTCCAACTCGCCACGCTCGTTGCATATCACGTCGAGGCGTCTCTCGGGATTGAACAATCGTTTGGCCGTGTTATGGGTGCAGGAAGCGATGGTCTCGACGCCAGTGAAATTCTCACGGTGAAAGAACGGATACTTTCCTCGAACCGCCACCGTAGACATCATCAGAGAAAGACACACGATAGCGGCGAACATGTTTCGAGAGACGTCTGAAGAGTTACTCGCGAATGGGAAACGCAGAGCCCAAGGATATAAGCAAACAGATTTTATCCTGAGGAATACTTGATGCATCGTTCCTGGAACGCGTCGATTACGGGAGTTGGCAGAGATTGTTGCGAAACTTTCCTTTGGCCGGGCTTTATGCTTCAATTTGGCGCGAAACGTCCCATCGTTTCGTAAATCGAACGGCGAAAAATTGCTCATGTTGCTCGCGGCTCGATCGACGAACTAGATACCGTGACAAAGTGTGGAATTGGGGGTGAGAAACGGCGTGGCGAAAGCAATTGTTCGGTCGTTTCGTCTGAGTTGCCGCGAAATGTACGTAAAAAATAATTTTACTGACAATATATGGAGTTCCAAGAACGGATTTCATGCTCCTTTTTCGAATAGGTAGCTTAATTCTTGCTGGTGGAAAATTGCAAATTCTATTTTTGGCAATAATTATTATACTTAAGGTTTCTAAAGAGCAGACTACTTCTTAGGCATTAATATTTCAGAGGATTCCTCAACAGTTCTACATAAAATGCCAAGTCTTTCACAGGGGGCATTAATCTTGTTTCATTTTCCATTTCTCCACCGAGTAGTACATTGTTCCAATATTCATTTATATACTTCCTTGTCTCGCGCTTTCTATTGAAAGTTTTACATTTTTCGTTTGCATATTTACAAAATTGAATACATCGTAATACCATCAAGAATTAAAAAGTCAAATTCTTCCACCGTAGAACGATTCTTCTTTCAATCATAATAAATTTCTACGAAACCGACGCCGATTTTACAAACGTTCGGTACAACCTTAATTGAAATTTAAAAAAATTTAAGCAATTACAGCCGCGATAATAACCCGCGCAGGGCGATCTAGTAGAAAAAATATGCGACTCGTCTATATGGAAATGTGGTCCAAAGCGAGTACAGACGACGTGGAGTAATTGCAGAGGGGCCTGGCCATAACGTCTGACCTAACACTAAAGCTACTCGCACGAGAGGTCTTTTTTTTCTTTATACAATTGCGTGCAAGACCCGCGAAACGATCGCACGTGTCGACGCACGTGAGCCAGCCGTATAGGTATAGTAGCGTGGCTTCGTTTAAACTGGGAATCGTCCGTGACCCCGGTCGGTGCAGGATCTGCACGAGCTCGGGTGCAAGTGCAGGGTCAAGCGCAGCAGGCAGCTCGCCAAACGTTCGCTCGTCCATCGAATTCTTTGTTGTTCGCGCGGAACGACGATTGCTCGACGGTGCGTGATCGGGTTTCGACGGAAACGTTGGTCAAACTCGATTTTCCAACGAAATAACCGACGACGGCGCTCCTGGGACCCGCAAAAAACAACCGAAAGCTACCTGCCAATTTTCAGGAAACTCTGCTCGCGTACAAAGCGTCCGGAAAATATTATACACGTGTCTTCTTCATCCTGTTACAGTCATTTTTAACAATTCCAGTTTCTTTTTTCAGTTTGTCTACTAGTACAAGTGACACAAATACAGTTTTGGCAGAGTCCACAAAGAAACGTGAAATTTGACTTTCTCCTCACAAGATTCTGTACATGTTCTGATTAATTTTTTTTAAAGTACAATTGTAATTAATATTTTTTCGAATTTCCATAGTAAACGATTTCATTTATGCATTTCAAATCCCCTAGTCTCATTTTTTGGTCGTCTACGAATACAGTTTTAACAAAGCCCACAAAGAAACATGAAAGACGAATTTCTCCTCACAAATTAAGTTTTCGATTACTATATATCTAGATTCTGTACATCCGTTTTGATTGATTAACTAATATTTTTTCGAGTTTCCTGGAGCCTGTGGAAGCGTATCCCACCGTTGGCCAATCCCTTACGAACGAGCTAAAAATTTGTGAAAATTTCATTTCCTCTTCGTTTCGTATCGCAATTTTGTAGGATCAGTCCCATCGCCGTCGCTGGGTGGCTTAAAGTGATTTATCATTCCCGTTCGGTGGCACGCCAAGAATTTGTATTCCCTTCCGCGTTCACGTCCAGAACCCGGAAGTCCGCGATCGAGGCACACGGACGAGTCGGCGCGCGAAATACGTGTGCACGATGAAAGAGAAGTTTCGATCCCCCTTGCTCGCCTCTTGTCATACGCGAGCTGCTTTTCTATCGGGCGACGTCGAAACCGGCTTCAAGTTTGAGAAGCACGTTTCTCTGTCTGCGCGGTATTGATCCGCGACAGCTTCGTTCTCCGGGAAATGTTCCACGAACGGTTAGAAAATTCCTTTCCGGGGTTTTCGCGCGAACGATACCCGCGAATGGTTCAGGGGATCCAACGGAGCGCAATTAAACCGATCCGGTGCGCGGGTTAATCGACTTTAAGAGCCAACCAGCACCTTCCAGGCGATCGAGTCTTCGCGGGGGTGGAGGTTACGATACGTTTTACGATATTAACCCCTTCGTGGCCGCCGCGTTCGAACGATTTCCATCGTGGAAGCTTGCCAAGATCGAGACATGTTTCCTGTTGTGTACAATTTTTCTCAATATTCAAAGCCCAATCTTTCATCTATAATTACAAATTAATTAATACAAATATGACGTAATTTGGTGTAATTAATTTTTCTGTAGCTGAACAATTAATTTCAACATTTTTAAATGGAACACTGAGGATCGAAGGGTGCTTAACACTCTTATGCAACAGTATGCTTATACATTTTGTGTAATAAAAGTTTCCCGGATTTTTTGCGGACAGCTCGAAAGTGGAAACCCATTAAGCACACGGCGTCCTGTCGAGGGGGTGGGAGGGTCGCAAGGGATAATTAATGCACATTGGTTCGACACTTCGGTACTCTCGCGCGTAGGAATCGATGATCGAAGCAAACGGGGCGATAGTGACCGCGGCCTTCTGGGAAATTTGAAAAATACCAACGAAAGAAGCTTCCACGCGACGGGTTCAAGGACGCCGACGCAGACGCCGGGCGTCACTCTGTCTCCACGAGGAGCGTCGTCTACGAGCTTCCTCCTCGGTTACGAGTGGCGATGCACCGGAACTACGAGCTTTTTGGCCGCAACCTCGACGTTGAAATCGAACGGACATCGCGCGAGGGATCGTTTCGAAGATTAGATCCCGTCGAAGTTTAATTACCGCGGTTGATCGACTCCTGGTCGATCGCAAAATTTCAAAGAAATTTCCTGGTTTCGTCGCGGTGAGGGGGGGGTGGCACCGGGACGACCTTGGGGGGCAAATTGATTTTGTGTCGACTCGCGAGACCGCGTCTAAGGGACACGCGCAATTTCCGTGAACGTCACACCCGTGATCGGTCGCGTGTGGTAGGTGGAAGCAATATAGTAAATTCCTTGGGACATACTTAAGTGGAATAAAAGTGGTAAACACCGACGACACTGGGAGACGCAAACAGAGAAACCACAACCTTGATCCTTCCTTCTCTGTTTTCTCTTCGTAAAAAATTATTAGTTTATCCATACCGATGAATTACGATTCTAAAAAATGCCTGGATATACCTGATTATTTTTCGTAATCATATTACAGATATTCGTTAAAGCTATCGGAATGAAACAGCATTGCAGAAGTACACAATTGTAAATTTCACAGTGCAGTGGAATAACAATGGCCCAGGCGGTTGATTCTGACCGTAACGGTAAGGACTGTAAGCAAATAATATTTTACGATTGTTCGGTTTAATTAAATGGAAGGCGAGGCTCTTCCAGTCTGGTACTCGTCGACAAACGAAACGATGTTTGCGATAATTCCGCGATGACGGCGATTTAACGGACGATTATTACGGTCGCTATTTATTTTCACGCCCCGGCGAGCTTTGTTCGGAATAGCCAGCTGGATTCGCGCGCATAATTGCAGACCCAAACACACGGATACGGATCGAACGCGATCCCGTTTCAACAATGTTATTTAATCTTTGGAATAAATGAACACGAATCGACGGCCGATTAATTGTCCCCTTGATTTCCAGACGCGATAATTTTCGGCTGATGTTACCGGAAACCCGCTGCTGAAAACAGAGTATCGAATAAAACGTACAGTCGGTTCAAACAATGTACACGGAGGAGATAAATCGCGAATGGTCGCGATTGTCGATCGTTCGTATTTATAAAACGCGTTTAACCGTTGAAAAATTCCGACGATGTCGTTTTGCGTCAGATCATTGTACGGAGGAACTCGTGTTATCGACTGTGCTCCATCTTTTATTGAAATTTTACAACGTCACGGTGCACCGGAGCGAAGTGAAACCTCGCGGATGCAGTAACGGTTCGCACGGAAACAAATTTCTATTTTTGTCCCTTCACTTTCGTTTTCCATTTCTGTGAAAGTATAGCACGTGGAGGGACATCGTCCACGTACCGGCGGATATCGCTGGAAACAGCGAAACGTAACGACGCTGCTGTAACGAAAGATAAGAGCTTGAAATGAAAAGGACCGTGTGTATCGTTTTCATCGTACGAAATCCGTTTGCAAACGTACCTACGCCTGAACAAGTTTAATAAGGTCCATCCGGATGGTGTGGATTATCGCTTGGACCTGTGATCTACCTCGACGGATACTTCTCGGGAGAAATAAGCCCGTGGGAAGATGACGAGGCTCGAATTCGGGGACTCTCGAGAGGTTGTTTAACATTCTGTCTCACAAATCTTTTACTTTACGGATTAAATTACCTCGATATCGATGTCTCTCGATGTTATTTTTGATTGGGGCCACTCGATGGTTAACTTTCCTCATTGTCAAGTTCGTTCCAACTTTAATTAGAATTTAGGTCACTGGGCTACCTTTAAAATGGGAATCTCTTAATTTGTTCTTAAATAACATTAAAAATCCTGACTCGATACGATCACTCTTCTTCCGATCAAACGATTACGCTTTAGAAGGACGAATTACACAGTTTTTACGCGACTATCCCGTTTCGTTTGGCGATTAGAATTTTTATTATTATTCCCAATTAAAAATTTTTATCCAGAAATGAAT